ACAATAATCAATTTACAACTTAAAATCTTCCACTAATATCTCCTCTTTAACTTCCTTCCAAATTAATCTCCAAATCAATTCCCAAACTAACAATATAATTTCCGTAATTTTCCCTAGTCAGCCATAAACGTTTAAATCTTAACTGGAATAAAATTATTCTTCACATTTTGAATTTCTCATCACTTTCCTCTCATTTATGTAATTTGTCACTTTAAATTTGGATTTCCGGTTCACGAATTTTGATCTGATGCTCGAAACTGAGCTATAGACAATCATGAGATTGACGACCAATAATCATATATAAATTTGGGTAATTTTTCTAATTCCATTTTTTTTTGTGAACAACATTTCTTATTTAATTTGTTCCCAATATTTGTTATTCAATTGGATATATTAAATTTCCATACTAATTTGTATGAGTGTAAATTTTCAATATTTTAATTTCAATTTGGGTGTTAATGTTCAAATATTTATTATTTTATGAAGATTATACGAATTAAACAAATACAACTTGTTGATTTCACTATTTAATGTGATTTTTTTTTCGAATTATTCAACTGTTATTTAATTAAATTTTTATCAGAAATGTGAATTTATGGGTATAATATAATCGTAATATTAGTCCAATAATATTATATTAATAAATATTGATGATTTATAGAATGTGTTTAGGTCCAATTTACTCAAATTGGGCCGACCCATAAATGATTTAACTAAAGCCTCAAGATTCAACTCTCTAACAAGCATGCCAAGTTAGTCAAAGCGTCCCAGTCCATATGGACTAAAGAGCCCACCATTCCTCTCATGTGTAAGGTATAAAAGCCTTAACCTCTCTCACTCTCAATTCGTCTGCATTACGCCTCAAGCATTAAATTCTCTTGCATAGCCTTTTCTCTTTAGAAAACACTATACTAACTTCGGCATCGGAAGGGCCTTCCTCGGCACCACCCCCGAGGCCAATTAACGTGTGTTTGTTGTGCAGGAAATCCTCGTCTCAGTCGTCACTTGGGCTGAGTCCAGTCTTCACCCCACTGTAAAGGTCCAGCCAAAGGACCTATTGTTTATACCCGAAACAATTTGGTGCCGTCTGTGGGGAAGACAGTAATAAACAAGCCAATAATCCAACCGCTTAGCAACATGGCTAAGAGCGCAAAGAGGAATAATCCTTCTTCCTCAGCCGCGAAACAAAGGTGCTCCTTCTTCTTCGTCTTCAGAGGATGCCTCATTCGAGAAAGCTTTCACTTAAAAGACCCACTCATAACACCGGCCAGCCGTCGAGCTCTCACCGGCCAAGCCACTCAAATGCTAAGAGCCCGACTCCTAGTCGCCATTCACAGTCTTATCCAAAGGGGACACCTCAGAAGGGCCCCACGTTGGAGGAGGTGGCTAAAGCCCTTGCGGTCTTCATGGAGTTCATGCAGGCCTAGGCAAACAAGCCAACTCCACTTCTTGTCTCCTCAACGCACACTGACACAATTGAGCAGCCGAGAAGATTGAGAAGAATGACAGACCTCGAGGATGGAGAATGAGCTCCATCCCATAGAGAGCTCAAGGAGCACTGGGAAGAGGACACTTGGAGGACTGAGCTGAAAAGAAATAAAAAAAACCATAGTTCTTCAAGGAATCCGAAGCCAAAAGCTTCCGAAGCAGCAATACCGCATTCACGGGGCCTGAAACTGTTCACCAAAATGTGAACGTATCGGCTCGAGGGAGGTGAGCATCCACAGCCGCCTGACATGCCCGCATGAAAATTATCCCTACCCCGTACACTCCCAGCCGAGGACAAAAACCACTTCCACCGCCCAAAGAGGGGGAAGCGAGGTTCCAACGGCTCGGACCAAGCAAAAGGCAGTAATGACACCTTCTAGGTCTCCAATCGTTTCTTGGATCCTGGAAGAGAAAGTGCCAATAGCGTAGAACCAAGCGCACATCACTTATGATGGGACTTCAGATCCGAAAGAGCATATAGCCTCTTACGAGGGGCATATGTACCTGAACCCTCGATCTGAAGCAACCTGGTGCAAATACTTCCCTACAACTCTAAAGGGATCAGAGTTGCACAAGCATGGATCACCAAGAGGGTGGAAGAGGGGTCAATCATCGGATGGGAAGACCTCTCCCACAAATTCAAAAGAAAATTCTCTACGGCTCGCCAAGATAAAACCACAGCTGAGCTCATAAGCTTGCAACAAGGGGAAGAAGAAAGTCTTATAGACTACCTGACCCGTTTCAGCAACAAGTCCTCTAGAATCACAAATCTGGACTAAGGGCTGGCCGTTTTCGCACTGCAAAACAGGCTGAACACGGGAAAATTTCTCGACTTCATGATTATGCACACCCCGCAGACCTTAGAGGAAGCCCTCGACGCTTCGGATAAATACATCCGAGCCGAGGAATGGAACAAAACCAAGTCCCAACCCGGGACTGGTATAGCAAAAGGACATCAGTCCGAAGGTCAGGGTAAGAAGAAAGGGAAGGCAAAAGCTTCAGAACCTTCTTCGGCACCTGCATCGAACAAAGAGAAAACCCCCTTCTCTGGGAGATACGAATCCTACACTCCTCTCGCTCTTCCACGTGCTAAAATTTACAGCGTAACGAAGAACGACGGGAGGTGGAAAAAGCCAAGGGCGCCACCACTGTAGCACCAAAGAAAAAACAAAGACAAATGGTGTAAATTCCGTGATGCTCATGGACACAACACCAAAGAGGGTATCCAACTGAAGGATCAGATTGAAGATCTGGTCCGAAAAGAGTACTTGAAGAAATACCTCGCAGACCATCGCGAGGAAACGAAAGCTGAGCAAGATTCTCGGCTGTAGCTGGATTACCATCAGAAGAAAGACAAGCCACAGGTTAAAGAAAATCCTGACATTCTTGTCATCTCTAGGGGAACAAGCTCCCGCAATGCTTGCAAACGTCACCTAAGGAGTCTGACTCACCAGATCAATTACGCCTCAGTTCGAGGTCCAGAATCTTTGGTTCCGAACATTACGTTCACAGCCGAAGACTCCTGAGGGGTAGCACACCCCGATGACGACCCGCTGGTTCATTGTAAAGGGGATCACTAACCACAATGTTTGGGAAACCCTCCTGGACGGCGGTAGTGCGACAAACATCCTATTTCGGGATGCGTATGACCGCCTCAAGCTTCAGACCAAGAACCTGAGTCCAATGCCCTACCCAGTCACTGGATTCAACGGTTCTTCGGCATACCCTAATGGGAAAGTCACTCTTCCTGTCACCATCGGCAAAGACCGAGTAGCAAGGAATATCATGGCTGAATTCTTGGTCATTGATGTCCCGTAGGTCTACAATGTAATAATGGGAAAACTCATGATACACCAGGTCCAAGGAGTCGTCTCCACGTATCATCAGCTGATGATATACGTCTCTAACGAAGGCTTCGCCGAAAATGCAATTACAACTCCGTCAAACCCTCAAAAGATCATCATGAGGACAAGGACGGAGATGAAAAAGAGAAAGAAAAGGACCGAAGCCTTAAGAAGCACAAAGGCCTAAGTGCTTCGGCCCAAGGGACCCCACCCAAAGAAAAAGCAGTGCTAGTGGGGGCTGAAAAGGTTGGCTCATCTTCTAAAGCAACAGATTCAGAAAGCCAACCGAAGTCCGGAAAACTTGTTGACATCGATAACAGGCCAGATAATGAAGAAACTGGTTCCAAAGCAATGGAACTGGATCATCAGAGTCAATCGAGTTGATCGAAGGAGACCTAGAAAAACTTGTAAGCATCGGGCTTGGACTTGATTTGAGTATCCGAGTTGAGCTTATCCAACTCCTTCGGGACAACCGGGATGTGTTCGCTTTCTCAACTGCCGACATGCCTGGGATCGACCCGTACCTCATCTCCGACAAGCTAAACGTCAACCCAAGCTGTCGACTTGTTAAGCAAACGAAGCGGAACAAGAATTGTGTCAGGAATTCGGCCGCCAACAACTCTGGCCATTCACAAGCGACAACCAGAACATGGCAACGAGGAAATAGTACTAGCAGCAACAAAATAACAATTCTCATAGACAGGGCCAAAAAGAAGATGACTAACAATAACAGTCGGGCGTGGAAGGCAGCAGTTGGATGGATTATCCTCAAAGACAGGCATAAGATTGTTGAGAAAGGGAAGCCGGTTTTCACAATGACACCAAGCCAAACGGAAGCTCTTGCGGCCTTGTTTGCTCTGGACAACATAGAGTGCGTGGATCAAGATGTCTCTGTACTCACCGACTCAGAAGACCTCATCAAAGGACTGAATCAACCTCACCTCGCACAAAGGGAGCTCAAGCCGATAATTAGAGATATACTCAGTAAAGTTGTAGTTTTTTCCTCTGTTATTTTCTCTAAAGTTAGTAGGTCTGTAATCAAGGAGGCGCATATCCTAGCCACCAAAACCAGGAAAAACCTCTAATCTGTTTGCTTTTGAGGGAAAAAAAAAAAAAAAGTATTTGTGCTTTTCTTTGTAGCAGTGTAACCGTGTAACATACTTTGTATTTATTTATCCATGTTATGGATTGTGCAAAGCTTGTTTGGAGGGCAAGGCGGGCCTAATCCCTACAAACAGGCAGGTATGGTCAGGAAATTCAACAGGCCAAGTACTCAAATTTCTTGACCGGATCTTGCCTGTTTAAAAGGCTTAACAAGCAAACTCAACCCTTGTTGACCCAATCAAGTAGGATACTAACAGGTTAGGGTCCATAAAAGTGAGGGATAACTTAAGTGGTTAGAACTTTCCTTCCGGTTTCAACAGATTTTGGGATCGATTCTTATCACTTGTCCTAACACCAAAAAAAAAAAGGTTAGGGTCCATTTGTTTTCGTTTTTTGTCATCTGTTTTTTTCTATTTGTTGTTCAATTTCATGATGATTTTAAAAAGTTCGATATTTTATTAAGTATGTCTTTCAAAAACAAAAAAAAAAACTGAAAACTACAAAATTATATTACTCATCTTAGACAAAAATATGCTGTATATTTTTGTTAACAGATAAACAAGATTTGGTAGCAATAAATTACTTTATTTTTTTTTGATAGTAGGAAGAAAAATTACATTTCAACTCATTGCTGCACGAGTACAACTCGTAAACTGTAATGAAATCAAACAAGCAACAATACTAAATTCATAATTTAAACAATAGTAAACAAGTGATAACAAAGTATATGATCTGGTATGATATGTTATGACTTCGAGCTTATATAGGTCAATCCCATATTTTGGCACATAATCAAGCTTTAGGGATGAAGTTCTTGAACTTTGATTCCATCTCATACCAGGACTCCAAGCTGATCATTTCATTGAACTCAGAGAAAGTAACAATCTTGTCCAAATCATCCCTAGTAGTACCCTTCTCTTTAAGAACCTTCATGATTTCAACCAAAGCTTTGGTTGTAGCATAGATTGTTGAGAGTGAATGAGCAATCAAGTGGAAGCCGAGTTCCTTGAACTCTGCCGGTGTATGTAAGGGAGTTTTTCCACCTTCGATCATGTTAGCAATCCTCAATCCTTTTACATCCCTAACAACCTCTTTGAGCTCCTCGATGTTAGCTGGTGCCTCAACAAAGGTGGCATCAGCCCCAGCCTGTAGGTACCACAAAAGCAAAGATATCATCTCAATGCATTTGAAACTCAAAACCATGATTTAATCTCATTCAGAACCAAATTATTATGTGTCACAAGTTTGAGTACTCAAGTGTATAATGCAGTCTTTTATGAAGAAAAAAGCCCTGTTAACCCCTCCTTAACCCAATTTCCACACATTTATAGCACGACAAATGTGACAAAAGTCCATATAGAGATCTTTAGGGGAATTGCAAGTTCAAGAATGTTTTAGAATCAGAGATGATATACCTCTCTGTAAAGGTTTGCGCGTCTAATAGCTTCTTGAAGACCGTGGGGTGCCCGTGCATCAGTCCTAGCTACCAGGAAAAAATCAGCATCTCCAATGGCTTCTCTTGCTGCTGCTATCTTGAGTGCATGCTCTTCTGCAGGTACAACCTGATAGTAACATATTAGAAATGACAACAATATGTTAGCCCTGGTTGCTTTCATATGCTTGGATTAGCCAGATGTATCAGAATAAACTAGTAGCATATAGTAATTATGTGAGACAAGTTTGCGATTACCATCTTGCCACGCATATGACCTAAGAAAGAAGACACAATATAGTAAATTAGTATCGATATAGAGATTAGAATACCATAGATAACAATTTATATTAAGACTGATAAAAGAGAGAAAATGTCGATATATACCACACTTCTTCGGCCACACTTGATCCTGTCATGAAGAAAGTTCAAAGTTCTTAAGCTATATGATACAGAAATACACACATTAACATACACTATACATAAGAATTCAACCACCACTGCACCTTGTTCTAACTGATGTTCGTGTAGTTTAGTTATATAAATTAAACATGTTATTCTACATATATAGGCTTTTGCTCTTTGAAATTCATACATTGATCTTGGTATAAAATATTCAAGATACTTTCAGTTTTCAAAATATTGTATGGTATTCTCCACATAAAATACAGTTAGCAATGTTCTTCAATTGTAGAGTTAGTCAATGAACACAAGACAGTATCCCAGGCCAACTTCTGTTAATTTTATCATTTCGTAAAATTGAATCTTTGAAGTGATTATAAGTCATTTCCCTATGCTATTACATCAGAAGATTAACACAAGCAGAACCAGTTACCTCTAGAAAAACACCCTTAGCACCAGCTCCGATCAACTCTTTAATGAACCTTTGTACATTAAGAGGACCACCACCACCAGTGTCTTCGCGCAACAAAAAACAAAAACCTTCTGTAAGTGCTACCTTGGAAAAAAAAATATTATTGCGGTATATGAAACATGACAAACACTAGTCTGTTACCTCCATCAACAATGACACACAAGTCCGGTGCAGCAGCTGTTATTCTACGAGTAGCTTGAGTAACTTCCGTTGTCCTGTGTAACATAAAGTCATCATATCAATTAAAAGTCCTAAAAGACACAAACTAATTGGCCATTCTTTCATCTTCATAAAAAGTGTAAACAAAACATGTATCTTCTATAAATGAATCCAAGAGGTACTTCAATAACATGTTCGAGAAAATTAGAGGTACGACTAGTATGAAAAAAATTTAATGGTAGAGCTCACACCTTCTGACAATTTGGTAAAAAAGTATCGTAACTTTCTAGTAACGGGGTTTAGTTTCTAAAGCCCATAAACTATGCTATTTAGCTGGGCTCCCACATACTTTGTAGTAATGGGTGTTAAGCTTAGGCTAGTAGATCAAATCATAAAATTCTAGAAAAAGTAAGGTGGAGCGTATACTAATGACTTTGACATAAAGCCAGACACATAAACGTGTATACTCACTTCACTTAGGCCCATTTACAAAAAAAAGGATAGTAAGATAAAATTAGACACTAGAAAGTACAGTATATGTCCCTTTTGTCAGCTTTTACATCCTATTGAAATCAAAATTTAGACCAATATTATGATCAAAGAAAAATGTTAATGTTGCCCTACTTTGAGTTTCAACTATGTCCATAACTCCATGTTACATAAAGTTTTGACACATAGTCTTGATCTATTATTGATTTTAAAAAAAATTTGAATAGTTGAATATCTATAAACTAAATTAAAATTAGTTTATTTAGGTGTAATTTTCCAATGTGTACTCCATAGTATAATGAAAGCCACCTAACAAATCACGATCTTTACTAGATTTACAATAGCTGTGAATTAAATTTGTTCACCACGAGGGTGTTTTTGAAATACGGAGAATACATTGTACTAAGGACATTTCAATTAATAGATTTTGATAATTATAATGATTATTGGGGGCTTAAATAAACATAATTTGTTCATCGCCATATTCTAAATTTCGAGTTTATAAGCTATTCGTAATTGAATTAAGCAATTCTTTGATAATCTCAAGAAAATTCATCTCTTTTCAAGATATAAGAATTTTCAAGAGGTTACTTTAGAATGTAAGGGATACTACGAGGTGAACTACATGAAGTTTTTAAGTTTAAGGCTTTTTTTTTTTTTTTTTTTTTCCTAATTGAAAGAACCAATATGCTCCTATATTCTAAAATTGTATCCAATCGTGTCCACCCACAGTTAAGAAAATGACACGAGTTTGCAAAGATAAACCTAATATAACAATTGTCACATTTATACTTTCTCCCAATTACACAAAATATGTAGCAACATCATAAAAATGTGATTATATGCCACTTAAAGCTTAATACAAGCTGATTAATTAGACCATTATAAAAACTATAATCGATCTTCCATATATAACAAAACCTTATCTTTACTTGTAAAAGCTTAGTTGATAAAACAATACTTAAACATGTTTAACAAAGCATTAAATAAGCAATTAATGAACAAATTAGACTGATAAAATAAGATAGAGAGAAAGAAAGAAATATACGTGAGCAAGCCAAAGTCAGGCAAGCCAAGTAGTGCAGCGGAAACACCAAAGCCAGAGACAAAACAAGCCTTAAAACCAGTTTTGGCAGCAATAGCAGCCGAGAAAGCGTCTTGAATACCCGGCATCAACACCGGTCCTTCCTCCGCGATAAGGCGGTGCATTGTAGTGTTGCCCTGAGCCACGTTGTTAGCATCAATAGAACCCATTTGTATGAAATTTGATCACTTGAAGTTTTTGGAGTTTTTGTAGTTTAAAGATGATATAGTAGTTTATGTTTTATACTTTTATGTATAAATATATATTCTTGTTATCTTATTTATACTACTATAAGACTAAAAGACTAACACTTGGTAGTGTTGTAGTAAAATAGTAACATATACAAAATGAGTAGGTGGGAAATTTCGTTGCCAGGTTTCTTGTATATTTGAACCAAGTGGAAATTTCGTTCTTTGTAATTTTGTTTTTTAGGGATGAACTCAAAAGTCTGACAAAATGAAGAAGCCATTGATAGGTCCCTACATATGATGATTAATTTATGTTTTACATGGCCTGGTGTTAACATCCGTATATCACTACGTCTCGTGGAATGCATAGTTGTTACCGTTACTAATATATCATATAAATTGTGTGAAAACTTCCGGTTTTTGAGGAAGAAGTGTAATTCTTAACTTAGATTGATGACATTACGACACGGGTTTAGGCTGCACACATCAAAAACTAGGAAGGTTATATAATTTGAGTCTTAGAATATGATCACTCAAAATTTTGATTGAAAATGAGAGTAGTTGTTCAAGCTTATAATATAAGTTGGTTATATTCTCTCATGCTCTTATGAAGCAACTTCTAATAATATACTTCGTATGTTTTAATGAAAGTCTCAACATTTAGATATGGTCTTAAATATCTAAGAACTTTATAATGATGTATGTATGTTAGCAATATAAAGTATGTCATAAGATAATACCATTTTGCTCATCTCTAAGACTACTTAAACTTGATAAATTGACCTATTGATCATCTAGATTATCTTATAAACCTACAAATTATAAAACAATCAAATACCTTTTTAAAACCATGTGGTATCAAGTATGACTACTTTTGTGTCCACTTACAGACCAGACTCGGGTTGCAAACCTGGCTTATGGTGGATGAGTCTCTCAACAAGAGTTTTATGCATTCGGTGAGGCTCGAACTCTAGACCTCTCTTAAGGGAGGTCAAAGCTGCTTACCACTTAAACCAACTCTTACTGGTATCCACTTGATATAGAAGTATACTTCTTATATATACTGCCTACATTTTTAAGTTCCTGACATTTTACATTTTCACGCCTTTCAAAGTAAAATAACGATGTTAATATCTGTTATTATTATATGTTATTATGTATATGTTGGATTTTTGGGGCATTTACTTTAGATAGAATAAAGAATCGGTAACATGTTTAACAGGTTAAGTGTGAAACGTGTCACTATGTGATTGGTTAATATTTTTTATTTATAAATTTTAACAATGGTAGTCATTAAAAACTAAGGGTTTTTTTATAAATTAAAAATAAAATAAAATCAATTTTTCAAAAAAAAAAAAGAAATTTTAAAAATTAAAATAAAAAAAAAATCCTAAAAAACCATGTCAAACTGACCCTAAGAAAAAAAAAATAGTGGTTTGCACTTTTTTGATTATTATCAAAATCATGATATTCTACTAATTTTGATTCTTTTTATAAATTATATCATGTCTTTCAAAAGCAAAAAAATGAAAACTACATTGATACTAGGCTCTGTTGATCACTCAATCTTCAATCAAAGATATTTATGTTAAGCTGTTAACTAGATTACCTTATTTATTCTCTTAGTACGTAAGAAGAAAAATTACATACAAGCAACAATACTCAAATTCATGACTCGTACAATAGTAACAAGTGGTAATGGACCATATCATATGGTATGATATGATATGACTTCGAGCTCATATAGTTCAACCGCATTATTTGGCAAACCCAATAACATAATCACTCTTTAGGGATGAAGTTCTTGAACTTTGATTCCGTCTCATACCAGGACTCCAAGCTGATCATTTCATTGAACTCGGAGAAAGTAACGATTTTGTCCAAATCATCCCTAGTAGTACCCTTGTCCTTAAGAACCTTCATGATTTCAACCAAAGCTTTGGTTGTAGCATAGAGTGTTGAGAGTGGATGAGCAATCAAGTGGAAACCGATCTCCTTGAATTCTTCCGGTGTATGTAAGGGAGTTTTTCCTCCTTCGATCATGTTAGCAATCCTCAAACCTTTTACACCCTAACAATCTCTTTGAGCTCCTCGTCGTTAGCTGGTGCCTCGACAAAGGTGGCATCAGCTCCAGCCTGTAGTTACAATATAGAAGCAAAGGTATTGTCTTAATGCATTTGAAACTCAGAAATGTACTATATCTCAATCAGTAACAAAGTCTATAATAGAGATATTTAGAGAACTAGCAAAAGGCTTATTATTTACAAGCAAAATATATATTATGTAGGAAATGGAATTATAATTTTGGTATAGAAGGTTATATATACCTCTGTGTAAAGGTTTGCGCGTCTAATAGCTTCTTGAAGACCGTGGGGTGCCCGTGCATCAGTCCTAGCTACCAGGAAAAAATCAGCATCTCCAATGGCTTCTCTTGCTGCTGCTATTTTGATTGCATGCTCTTCTGCAGGCACAACCTGATAATAGTAACATTATTCAAAAGAAAGCAATTTGTTAACTCTGATTGCTTTGAATGTATCAGAATATACTATAGATTACTAATAGCAGATAAGAGAAAATGGGAGACGAGTTTGCGATTACCATCTTGCCACGCATATGGCCTAAAGAAACACAAGATAAAGTGAATTAGTATCGATATAGAGACTAGAGTATCATAGTTTACGATATAAAGACTGATAAAATAGAGAAAATGCCGATATTTACCACACTTCTTCGGCCATACTTGATCCTGTCATGAAGAAAGTTAAAAGTTATTTTATCACCCCCATATCTTATGATACAGAAATAGACATATAATTAAACATATGCATTCAACTACAACCTTGTACTAAATCCTACGTTTGTGTAGTTTGGTTACATAAATATGTTTTCATAGAGGCAGGTTTATGCCTCTTTGGATCTTTTTAAAGGAACATTTAGGCAAATTTACAGATGCTTTTAGATTTACATCAATACAGTTAACATTATTTCAATTTACATCAATTGTACTGCTAGTCTATGAACACAGGACATTAGGACAATATGACAAATTCTTTCATTTTGTTAAATCGAAACTTGAAGTGATTATAAATCATTTTCCTATGCTATTATATACGAAGAATAACACAAGCAGAACCATTTACCTCTAGAAAGATACCCTTAGCACCAGCTCCGATCAACTCTTTAATGAACCTTTGTACATTGAGAGGACCACCACCACCAGTGTCTTCGCTTATCAACAAAAAACAAAAAATCTTCTGTAAGTGCTACATTGGAAAAAAAATTATCGCGGTACATGAAACATGACGAACACTAGTCTGTTACCTCCATCAACAATGACACACAAGTCTGGGGCAGCAGCTGTTATTCTACGAGTAACTTGTGTAACTTCCGTGGTCCTATATAACATTTAGTCATCAATTCATCATACATCAATTAAAAGTAAAAGACAAACTAATTGACACCTTTTCATCTTCATCAAAAGGAAATATGAAGTATCAATTTTGTTCTATGCTAGAAACTGTGCCTAGATGTAGTATGAACTCAAAACTCATTGATTAAAACATATGTTGTTTTTATTTAATCTAAGAGGTACACGAATAACAAGCCGTAAATAGAAAAAACTGAGAGAGATGATTATACGGAGTAATGAAATGGTTTTTATGAAAAAGTTCAATGATAAAGTTCACATCTTTCAATAGCAAAGTAAAAATGATCAACCCCTATACGGGCGATCTCTCCGAGTCCACATTGATTAAAAATATGTCATTTTTTAAAATGAATTTAAGGGCGTTTGGTTCGCAGACTGATATGAGTTTGGAATTAGGAATGAGGTTAATGTGGTATCGGGTTGGAACTTAATAATTAATACCATGTGTTTGGTTCAATTCTGGAATGAAATCTCTCACTATTTCCTCTTATTTAATACCTAAGGGAATGGAATGGGTCAAACCCACCCCCCAAGGTTTCTAAACCCCATACCTCATGGATTTGAGGTATGGGTTTAAAATTCATACTTTTGACAACCAAACATTTGGTATGGGTTTTAGTCATTCTAAACCCATAGCTCATACCTATATTCCGTGAACCAAACGCCTATGTGATAATTAAATAACATGATGTAAATAGAGAAAATTATTATGCAAAAATTCAATGGCAGAGTTTACACCTTTCAACAACAAAGTTAAAATGTCGAGCCCCAACTGGGCTAACCCCCCCCCCCCCCCCCAACCCCACAGCTGTACGAGTATAATGTATCAATGAATTTGGTGTTATATTAGGCAATTGCATCAAATCACAAATTCTAGAAAAAGGTACTGCATATTCTGATGACTTTGACATAAAGCCAGACATAAACGTGTATACTCACTTAGGCCCATTTCTGAAATAAAAAAGAAAAAAGAGTGTAAGATAAAATTAGATACTACTAGTAGAAAGTAATTCCCTTTTATGTTAGCTTTTACATACTATTGAAATCGAATTAGATCAATAATATGATAAAAAAAAAAGTCAATGTTGCCCTACTTTGAGTTTCAACTATGTCCATAACTCCATGTTATAAAGCTTTGACACATTAGATCTCTATTGACTTTTAAAATATCATGAATGTTAAAATATCTATAAGCTAAAATTAGTTTATTAAGGTGTATTTCTACAATATGTGCTCCATAATACTAATAAGTAATGGAAGTCACCTAACAAAATGACCTTTTCTAATAGTTGTGAATTGAATTCGTTCATCATGAGGATTTTGTTGAAATTCCGATAACATGCACATAGTGGACATTTCAATTAAAAATATTATTAACTATAATCATTTTTGGGACTTAAATAAACAAAGTTAGTTCATCACCATTTTATGAACTTTGAGTTTCTAAGTTGTTAATTTTATGAAAACACTCGTCTTTTCGAGATCTAAGAAGAGCTTGTAAGAGGTTAATTAGTTTTGAATGGAGCATTTATGCAGAAGATTTCAAGTTTTTTTTGGTTGTCAATGATCAAAAGAAATCAAAATACTCCCTATGATATGAAATTGTTATCCCACCGTATCAACCCTCACAATTAAGGACATGACACAAGTTTACAAAG